ACATAAACCAGGAGGCTGTCATTCAAACAGAACAAGGGGACACTGCATGGTTTTAAATCAAGAAGGGAGTGTGCCAGGGTTGTATCCTTTCACCATACTTATTCAATCTGTATGCTGAACAAATAATCCGAGAAGCTGGACTATATGAAGAAGAATGTGGCATCAGGATTGCAGGAAGACAGATTAACAACCTACATTATGCAGAAAACACAACTTTGCTCACTGAAAGTTAGGATGACTTAAAACACTTACTGATGAAGATTGAAGACTTCAGTCTGCAGTATGGATTATACCTCAATATAAAGAACAAAAATCCTCAAAACAGGACCAATAAGCAGCATCATGATAAACGGAGAAAAGACTGAAGTTGTCGAAGACTTTGTATTACTTGGTTCTACAATCAACACCAATGGAAGCAGCAGTCTAGATATCGGACGTTGTATAGCATTGGGCAAATCTGCTGCCAAGGACCCCTTTCAAGTGCTGAAGAGCAAAGATGTTTCCTTGAAGACTAAGGTGTGCTTGACACCAGCCACAGTTTTTTTTTTTTTAGTCGTCTCCTATGCATGTGAGAGCTGGACAATGAAAAAGGAAGACCGAAGAAGAGTCCATGCTTTTGAGTTGTGGTGTTATTGAAGAATGCTGAAAGTACCATGGACTGCTAAAAGAACTAACAAGTCTGTCCTTGTTAGTTAGAAGTGCAGCCAGAATGTTCCTTGGAAGCGAGAATGGCCAGACTTTGTCTCACCTACTTTGGTCATGTTGTCAGAAGGGACCATTCCCTACAGAAGGACATCATGCTTGGCAAAGTGGAGGGACAATGAGAAAGGGGAAGGCCCTCAATGAGATGGATTGACACAGTGGCTGCAATGATGGGCCCAGGTATAGCAGGGATCGTGGGGATGGCAAAGGACCAGGCAGTGTTTCATTCTGCTGTACATGAGGTCGCTATGAGTCGGAGACAACTCGACGGCACCTAACAACAATGGTTCTTCCTCCCATCCTTATGTCCCATTCTTCTTCACATAGTCCAGGTTCTCAGATTATTTGCTTCGCATACAGATTGAGTAAGTTTGGTGAAAGGACACAACTCTGACACGTACCTTTCCTGATTTTAAACCATGCAGTAGCCCCTTGTTCTTCAGGCTTGTCCTAAGATAGCCATAGATTAACAGATGTTAAACTTATGCAAACTTTATGTTTAAGATAACGTTCTTAAGGGATCTTATCACTTCTTCTTCCTGTTGAAGCATAATTTTGTAAACGTCAACTAATCAGAATTTTTCTTTGTAAATTCCAGAATTGTCTGTATTCAAACCCTGTGATAAATTCCTTTCGCCAGAGTCCTTAGTTCATTTCACGGACTCTGCGTTTTCCCTGATTCGAGTCACTCTTGCCTTTCTTCAACAAAACTCATCACTGTGATTTTTAACAGAGACTCCTGTTTGTTCTTGGACACACTAAAACTACCCCAAAAATACAAGAGCGCTTGTGTTCCCATGTGTGAGCCGATGCAGAGCCTTTTCGGTCGGTGTACACGGAACTCCACCTATGCCCTAAGCCTAGGAAAGGCAAAAACAAAACAAACAAAAAAACCCTCACTGCCATCTAGTAGATTTTGACTTATCGCAACTCCCATTGGGTTTCCAAAGCTGTAAATCTTTATAGAAGCAGACTGCTTTATCTTCCTTCAAGCCAAGCAGCTAATGAGTTTGAACCAGTGGCCTTCTGGTTAGCAGCCTTATCCACTACACCACCAGAGCTCCCTAAACCAAAAACCAAAATCACTGCCATCCAGTCAATTCTGACTGATAGGGACCTCCGGTTAGGTTTCACCAGGCGGTTAATATTCACATTAAAGAGAGTGCCTCATCTTTCTTCCACAGAGTAGCTGGTAGACTCAGAATCTCCAACCTCCTAGTTGGCAGTGTAGATGCCTTCCACCAGCGCTCCTTCCTTTAGGAAAGGCAAATCCTTTAGGAAAGGCAAATCAGGCAAAAACCACTACCACACTCCAGCTCTCCTGGCGAGCATAGAAACAGCCCGACACCCCGTGCAGCAACGAATCAGGTCGCGGCGTTTAGAATGGCGGCGGGACTTCCTCTTGCAGTGCCCTTGCGTACGTGCGTGGAAGCCCCGCCCCGGAACTGCAGTCGGCGCTACCGCTGAGGGGAAGCTGGTTCGTACGCGAGACGTCGACTGCGGCTCCACCTTGTGAATACGGCGCTGGACAGGACTGGGGCTTACGGTAGCGAGGATTTGGGGGTGGGCTCCGGGTTTTCCATCACAGGTCTTTCCGGGCCGCAGGGTTCCCCGCATTTAGCGAGGCAGCCGCTGGTCCAGGCCGGTCAGCCAAGCTGCTTGCCGTCCCCGCCCCCAGGGCCCTCCTAGCCAACCTGGGCTTCTCCGCATCGTGCGCTCTTGGGTGCCTGAGAGCAGGCGAGAGTTCTAGGTTCGGAGCTGGACGCATCCTGGCGCCGCGAGGAGGGACCCCTGATGCTATGCAGGACGCACTCGGCGTCTTACCCCCCATTTGAGTGACATTCCCCACTTCTCCCCGTTGAACCCCTGTTGTGCGTGAAGATAACGTAGTGTGTGTGAGGGGCAGACCTTCCCGTGCGTGCGTGCGTGCGTGCTTGCTTCCCGCTTGTTAGGCGCTAGGCTAAGGGTTTTGACGTGGCTTTTTGTGTTCTCCAACAAGACGGTCTCAACATCCCGCTTGCCAGACGAGCAGACAGGCTCACCGAGATTAACGCATCCCCCGCGGGCGCAGACCTGACGAGTGGTGGACTCAGTTGACCTTTCCCACGGGTCTGCTGTCTGTCTTGGCCTTTCTGAAAAAGGAGAGCCTGGATTGAGCTCTGACCAAACGACCTTTGCTTAAATGGTGTTTAAATCACTTCAAACGTACTGGAAGTCTGGATGAGTTTAAAGTCTTATGCCAGAGGCTAGAATGGGCCTCTGTTGGCTTGAGGGGGAGGCTTGAGAAGGAAGGAACCCCCTTGAACTTTCAGTAAAGTTTACTCCTTTACGTCATCCCACCCCCTAAAAATCTCCAGATTTGTATTCTTCAAAAGCGCTAGTACGTGCCACGTTTTGGTGCTGTTTCATTTACTTGCATAAAACGTTTTGCGGCTTAGATACTACGGCCCCTCCCCTTTTAAAGATGAGAACACTGAGGTTCCGAGAGAACCAAGCAGCACTGTCCAAGATCCCAGACAGTGGATGGATCTGGAATCTAAGCCACGTTTAGCTTATGTGTCTGCTCCACCTCCCATGTCTCCGCTGTTCCAGGCCAAGCTGTCTTTTCTGTGGGTGTATTCTTTTTAAAATATTTTATCGTGTTTTAGATGAAAGCTTATACAGCACATTAAGTTGCCATTTAACTATTTTTATACAAATTATTCTGTGACATTGGTTACAGTTTTCACAGTGTGTTAGCATTCTCAGGATTTTCCTTGTGTTTCCAATAATCTAGCTTCCCTGTACCTCCTTGCCTTCTCATCTTTGCTTTTGGGTAAATGTTGATGGTTTGGTCTCGTTCAGTTGATTGTTTAAGGGAGCACATTACTCACAGGTGATGAGCCATTCTGTTATTTGGCTGAAAGGTGACCTCCAGGAATTACTTCAGTTCTAAGCTTAAAGGGTGTCTTAGGGCGATAGTCTCGGGGGTACCTCTAGTTTCTGTCAGTCTGATAGGTGTGGCCTTTTTTCAGGAATGTGAATTTTGTTTTACGTTTTTCTCCCATTCTTTCTGTTCTGTCCCTGGTCAGAATAGTTGATAGGGGTAGCTGGGCACCATCTAGTTCTGGGCTCAAGCTAAAAGAGGCCATGATCGTATGGACTGTTTGCCCTGTGGGCTAGTTTCTGGTTTGTGTCTTTGGTTTCCTTCATTCTCATTTGCTCCAAACAGTAGAGACTGATAGTTGTATCTTAGATGGTCGCTTGCAAGCTTTTAAGACCCCAGAAGCTACTCACCAAGCTGGAGTCTAGAACATTATCTTTATGAACTGTTTTATACCAGTTGACTGAGTTGTCCCATGAAACTATGGTCCTGAGCCTTCAAACCTGGTAAACCAACCCTGCGAAGTATTTGGATATGTCTAGGGAGTCTCCATAACTGTGTTCCCTATGTGCTTCAATATATATATGAATATATGCAGTACATGGAAATGTGTATACACATACCTGTGGATATACCTATACATGCATGTGCATGTACTCAACACGTGCCTTCCCATACATGTATATGTATATATCTGTGGTTATATTTCTTACCCTCTGGTTTTCTCTAGTAGGGAGTATCAATGTTACAGCCATCTTATGTCCTCAGTTGTGTCATATGTTACTTCAGAACCATGTACTTTTTAGTTGCCAACATAAGAATATTCCTCTTATTTTCAGCAACCATGAAGTTGAAGGAGACAGAATCAAGGCCAAAGCCATCAACCTATGGCAAATTTCAGACAAAGGGAATCAAAGTTATGGGGAAGTGGAAGCAGGTGAAGATTGACCCAAACATGTTTGCAGATGGACAGATGGATGACTTAGTGTGCTTTGAGGAACTGACCGATTACCAATTGGTCTCTCCTGCCAAGAATCCCTCTAGCCTCTTCTCAAAGGAACAGCCCAGGAAGAGAAAAGCACAGACTGTTTTAGAAGGAGAGGAGGAAGGAGAGGCCAGCTCCCCAAAGAAAAAGATCACGTTGGAGGAGAGTAAAGATGTGGAAACTGAAGGTAGCAGTACCCAGAAAGAGTTTGAGGTCAAAGATGCTGAGCTAGGGCTTCAGAAAGATGGCTCCGTGTGTCCTGTGCCTGAGACAGGGGAGACGGCATCAGGAAGCCAGGCCCACACTGGGCCAAAAAAGAAGAAAAAGAAAGGGAAACAAAAATTGAAGCCTTCCCAGGGCACTACTCCAAAGGCGCCCAAAAAGGCAAAGACCTGGATGCCCGAAATGCGTGACCAGAAGGCTGACGTGTCAGCTTGGAAGGACCTGTTTGTGCCCAAGCCGGTACTCCGAGCACTCAGCTTTCTAGGCTTTTCTGCACCCACACCAGTCCAAGCCCTGACCTTGGCGCCTGCCATCCGTGACAAACTGGACATCCTTGGAGCTGCTGAGACAGGTAAGTGCTTCCCTGTGTATTCAGGGCAGGATTGCACCCGTAACTACTAACAGGCTAGATGACCAGGAGAAAGGGAAATGTTGGGGCAACATAACCACAAAGGCAGTGTTAAATGAAAGTGTTTAGAATCCACTACTTTGTTTCATTCTGCTGTACATAGAGGGTCGCTGTGAGTCGGAGACAACTCAACACCACCTAACAACAACAATAACAACAACTTTCTGATTGGTACCAAAGGCAGGTCCCTTGCTCTTTCTCTGAGACTACAAATCCTATTGTAAAATGGAGATAACAGTAGGACCTACTTCTTGAGTGGCTGTGAAGGTTAAATGCTAAATCCGTCCTCAATGTGTTGTACTCCCTGCGGTCAAGTCGATTGCGAATCAGAGATCCCTCCTTGGGTTTCCGTGGCAGTATCTCTACGGAAGTAGATTGCCCAGTCTTCCGAGGAGTGGCTGGTGGTCTTGAACTGCCAGTCTTCTGGTTAGCAGTCAGATGCCTTAGGCATTACTCCACCAGAGCTCCCAGTATGTCTTAAGTGATCTGCAAATGGAAGTTTTTCCTTTTCTTGAGTCTTTTCTGAATAGCCCCAAGAAGGAAGTTATGGCTAAGATCAGCCCTCTGGAGAGGTAGATCTTTGTCAGTATCAGGAAGAACTGTCTCATTCTTAACGGTTACCCAAAGATGAAAAGGGCTGTTTTGGAAGTTGGTCAGTTGGAAGTATTTGAGTGTAGTAGAGAACCAATGGGTGGGTTTTGTAGGCAAACAGTCATGAGATAGATGGCTGTTAGGATTAGGCAGTTTTTTTTAAGGTCCTTTCATTCCCTGTGCTAGCTAAGACTTCATGGAGAAATGGCAAATTACCTGACTGGGTAGACAAGGCTACTTTTGGTGTGGAGCTTGTACTGCCTGATGATAATGACCATCATTATCCAGTAGAATCATATATAATATGAAAAACCACATACCAAACCAAACCTTCCGCTGTCAAGTGGATTCTAACTCCTGGCGGCCCCCATTGGGTTTCTCAGGTGGTAAATCTTTACAGAAGTAGATTGCCCAGTCTTGCTTCCGCGGAGTGGCTGGTGGGTTTGAACCACCAACCTTCTGGTTAGCCTTAGGCACTGTGCTACCAGAGCTCCTTATGAAAAACCGTATTTGTAATTTTAAACTTCATAGGAGCCACATCAGAAAAAAGTGTAAACAAATAGTTGAAAAATAATTTTTTCAACCTTTCTCTTTACCCAAGTTAATACGTGTCTACTCTCTAGTTAGTAATTTACCCTCCCTCCCTCACCAACCATGGTATCCAAAGAATCTTTCTTTCTTTCTTTCCTTTTTTTTTTGGTGGAATTCTTTTCTTGACTTTTTACAATTATAGTTTCATACAGTATTTGTCAATATTTGTCCGGAGCTCTGGTAGCATAGTACAAGCTCTGGTGGCATAGTGCCTAAGGCACTTGACTGCTAACCAGAAGGCTGGTGGTTCAAACCCACCAGCTACTCCTCGGAAGGAAGGTTGGGCAATCTATTTCCGTAGTGATGCTGCCTTGGAAACTCAAGGAGTGTTTGCTGTGAGTCACGTCAGACTCTATGGCACATGACAACGACAACATTTGTCCTTTTGTGATTGCCTAACTTCAGTCAGCATAATGGGCTCTAAGTTCATCCATGTTATGAGATGTTTCACAGATTCATCATTGTTTTCAACATTGTATGTATGTGTCATAGTTTGTTGATCCATTCCTCTGTTGATGGGCATTTAGATTATTTCCAACTTTTTGCTGTTGTGAATAGTGCTGCAGTGAACATGGATATGCATATATATGTTTGTGTCATGGTTCTTTCTTTAGGATATAGACCTTGTAGTGGGATTGCTAGATCATATAGTATTTGTAGGTGAAAAATAATTGTAATAATGTAGGTATGTAATCAATTACATAAAAATATTATTTCAATATGTAAAAAATGTAAAATTTTTTAGATATTTTGCATTCTTATTTTCAGTGTTTTAAAATGTGATGTGTGTTTTAAACTTACAGCACATCTCAGTTTAGATTAAACACATTTCAAGTGCTCAATAGCCACACTTGGCTACCAGCTACTGTATTGTATGGTGTTGAATTAGACCATGTGAACACTTTGTGCCTTGAGCTTCTGGAAGGGTGATCAGAAATCTTAGGGTGGGATCATGTATGAGAGTCACATAATGGAGGAGTAAGGACACCCCAGGAGAAGGGAATGGAGATAATAATAATTTAAGACATTTACTGAGCACATGAAATGTGTCATGCACTGCCTTAGTACTTCATATTGATGAGCTCAGTCTTCATAGCCACCCTTAGTAACAACCAATTGCTGTCCAGTCAACTCCAAGTTAGGGTTAGGAGGTACTATTATTGTTCCAGTCTTAAAGATGATGAAACTTGGCCTTACAGAGAATGGACAACTTCCCTGAAATTATACAGCTAAAATTGTTAGTGGCTGGATTCTAGGCCGGGTCTGTAGGCTCGTAGGCATCCTGCTGCACTGTTTCGGTATGTGCACAGGCCTGGAAGTAGGTCTCTGGAAGCAGAAGCAGTGTCTGTGTGAGCCACTGCGGCTGGAGTCTGGCATTTGTATTCATACTGCAGCTCCTGTCTGGCCTGTCCCCATGGAATACTGTGAATCTTCAGGTCTCAGTTTCAAAAAAATTGGGACAGGCCATGCATTTGAGGCTGCGGACAGATTGCCATCCACAAAGATAATGAATATATTCATTATCCCCTAAAGACTCCTTGGTAGTCCTCTCTTTCCTGTGCCACCCCTCCTTGCCCATCCCAGGCAACCACTGATAGGCAGTCTGTCACTGTAGATTAGTTTGTGTTTTCTAGAATTTTATATAAAATTGAATCATACAGTATATACTTATGCAGGGGCTGGGTAGGTGGGTCTGGCTCTTTAATTCCACATGCTTTGAGATTCAACCATGTTATCCTAAGTAGCAATATTTGGTTCCTTTTTTATTGATGAGTAGTATTCCATTGTATAGATGTGTCACATTTTGTTTGTGTATTTGTTTATCCACTCATCTGTTGGTGGACATTTATGTTCTTTCTAGTTTTGGGCTGTTGAAATTAAAGCTGTTACAGATGTTGGTGTGTGAGTCTATGTATGGACATGTACTGTGATTTCTGTTGGTTAAATACCTAGATATGGAATGGCTGGGCCATATGATAAGTGTATGTTTAACTTTTTAAGGAGTTTTCCAAAGTGATTGGTATCATAATTAACCAAGAGAGTTAGAGTTGGTTGGTATTTTTTCCAACGCTTGGAGTGACCAGTCTTAATTTTATTTTAGGCTTTTTAAATTTTTTTTTTTTTTTTT